CACAAGCTCGCACGATTTACCTGCCTTGTCAGCTGTTACTACCTTTTTATCTGGATCCTGTTAACTTGAGATTTGTTCTTAGCTCATGGAAAAGGTCTCCCTTTGTTTTCCTCCTCCAGATAGGAGAAGTCTCTTGGCAGAGTTCTTCAAAGGCAGCTAAGTCAGTAGCATTATGGAAATTTGGCAGTGAGTTGAGTACTAGGGCAGATCTAAACATTACTTTAGGCTATTTTCACAGGGAATTGTTCCATGATTTTTCATCCCCTTAGTTTAGCAGTTAGTATCATCACTCACACCCATCCTTCCTAAAGTGACCCTGCTTACCCGTTCTTATCATTGTGTAGTCTGAGTTATTGTGAAATTTAAATTTAAATTGGATACATAAACAAGACAGAACATGAATAAATCATCCAAAGGCTTTCTGAACTGTTCAGTTTATACTTCTTTAAAGTTAATACAAAAAGTTAAATTCAGCCTTTTGATTAAATGAAAAAATGAACAACTAGATTACTTTGATGTATTTCATCTCTGGTAATTTTGTTCTTTTGCCGTTTAAATCATTTTTTAATTGCTTTGAGTACTGCCAAAATGCATGCTTATTCTAATCCATTAAAACTAGAAGTAGGAACTTTGTGTTTCTAGTAGAAAGAAGAAGCTGTATATTCTAGGTGATTTAATCCACTTTATATTGGCTGGGTTACTTGTGAAGTGGGGTAGGTAGAGACAGGAAGAATTAAGACCCAATTCTTGAATGGTGTCTCATATATTAACAATTCCAAAACTGAATTATTTTGCTTTCTCTGGAAACACAATGATGCACCAAGGTGACATAATAATGGGGCTTCTAAGGCTATGCCTCTTAGAAGTTGTACCAAAACAATTCTCAAAAGAAAGGAAGCCTTAAAATCCAGTATCTAACATGGTTGTCCTACAATCTTGTGTCATCATTTAATAGAAACGTTTCTGTTGCTCTCAACTAACTGGAAAAATGAGGAGTGAAACTAGTGAATTTTGAACTTCATGTCAGATACATCCAGTGCTTTATGTTTGCTTTCCTGCTAACTCCTTTACTGTATTCACCATTTGGTATAGCACTTGGAAATCCCAGTGATATAGCATTATTTTAGATATTAAAAGTCCGAGGACCCAAAAGGTTTCTGAAAGCCACACAGCAAGTCAGTTATCAAAAAATGATCCAAACCAGAACCAAAATCCTACAGCAATCTCATTATTGAGCTACCCCCAGTAACCTGCTTTTGTGTGTAAATGTTTGAATTTCACAACAGAATGCATAATTTAAACAATATGGAAACAAGAACTCATGTCCTTGTATTCAAGACTTGGGGAAAGGTTTTAGTTGGGGCTTCTGAAGCTCCTTTTAGGGTTTTTCTTGACCTGAAATCTTACCTAGATCTCAATATATTCAACAGATTTGAACTGAGATGCTCAGGTTGAATGAGGAAAGGGCATCAGGATGCACTTTTGAAACTCCGCCTTTCCTCCGTCCCATCCAGATGGGGCTTTTGCCATATTAGAGGGGCTGCTGGTTGTATGAGACATTCTAACTGTATAAAAGCGTTATTCACAGTAGACTGACCCAGAGCTCCTCAGAAGTCAGCCAGTAAGAGCAGGTTTTGGGAACGCTAGCCATCCAATCCATGGCAGTGCAGTATCTAGACTTCGGCATCAGGCTCAGCTCTGGTTAGGGATTCAGTGCATCACTTCAGTTTGTGGATCTCAGTTCTCCAGGCTTTGAGTTGAGTGAGGGTTAACCAAGAACAGAAGATCTCAACTGTGACTGGACATAAGTGTGAAGCTTCTTTTAAACGCCAATACCTAGGCCAGTGGTAGCACACCTACATGTACCACAGTGGGTTGTATCATTAAAAGCTCTAAAAGTCTTGCCATTTCTGACAGGGGTTCCAGTTTAATTTTATCTTTGGTTGAAGCCTGGACATGATTATGCATTAATTGCTGTCTGTAAAGGCCTGGTCAGGATGACCCCATTCCCTTCTATTTCTGAACTGGTTTTTGTTATGCAAATACTAATGAGGACATTCTTAAATGTCTTAGCTACCCTGTTCCATAACATTAGGAGCTAATGTCATTCTTGTGAATGTCACTATCCTAGTTTTCCTATTCCTCAAGAACTGGATTTAATCACTCGGCTGGCCTTGTCCACAGAAAATGTGAAAGAAAGGCTGATACCTTTCAGGAGTTCAGGGGTGGAGGGAACGGAATTCTATTCTAATCTTTCTTCTCCAAGTCACTTCTGTATTTTCTACCAGTTGCTCTTAAATACTGTGTCATAAAAATTGTGGAAAAACAAAAAATTTTGAGCCCTCTTTTACAATGACTACATTGGTTTTCTAGATCTGTTAGGGCAAATTCAGTGTCTTATGAGCCAGTATGTACCTTAGGTAAGACAGAGAGTCTCTGCTATATGACAGTGCTCTGTTTTGTGTGTGTGTGTTTTAGTGAACAAAAGGAATCCACTTCTAGGCAGTGGAATTTTGAGAGCTGAATAAATATGCCTACGTTTCCCTCATGAATCATCAAGCTACAGGAGAACAGTTTGAAGACAATGTAAAACGAATGGACAATAAAAGTGTTCAATGCTATAGCCTCCCTACCTCCATCCCAGTTTTAATAGTTGGTCAGATGAGTGGTTGACTTAATAGTATAGCAGTACCAAGGATATTAATTATCTAAAATAACATACATATATATTTAGAAGTGCATAACTGATGTTGTGTTCTATGAACAAACACTGTTTCACAGGGTTTTTTTTAAATGAAACTTAATGTCCTGCCAATTTCATCCCCAAAACTCATTCTACACTCTGTCCTCTCACAGCTACCAACACAAAGACACGCTCTTTTTCTACGGTCCTCGCTTTAATTTGTCTGTGAGCAAAAATCAAACTGCCTCCATACTGAACAATATGGTACAGGAACTGAGATTACTTCACACATGTATATTAAGCCACAACAAAATATGGAAACCATATGAGGCTGCACACATGAGTATCCAATAAATATGTGTTTGGGTGATGTTAAGCAGGCCTTTCACTAGGGTCAAGACTCAGGTAATAATTCTCGGGCCATTCGTGGAAGAATTGCCCTAATTGGTACTGTAGGACTATGATTTCTTACATTTTCAAAGTACGGTACATTATCTGAAAAGAGGAAAACATGTGGTAACCATCCACTTAGAGATATTAATGTTCTTGGGCCACAGCTAGGAGCCATTTTACTGACAACACCAACAAACGCAGAACTTCACGGAACTCTATATCTGTGCCACACATTTATTGCAAAGTGACGAAGAGGATTTGGAAAATGTTTATCCTTCTCCTTTCTCCTCTGTACTTCTGAATTATATTTTACTATTTAGGATGTTACCAGCCAGCCAGTATACCTTTCACTTTCCCTCTGGAGAATGAGAACTTTAAATCAGATTTTTGTTGCTGGAGAAATGAGTTTAGTAATCTCTGGTCTTGTTATGAGGCAGAACATGCATCAAGGAGCAGAATAAAATGTATTTAGCTTGCAGGGCAGCCTGGACAATAATGGTGCTTCCTGCAAGTGAGAGCTCCAATTCTGGATGCTCTGCCTGGGAATCTTGCCCAGGGCCTTTTGGCTCTTATTTTTTGCTGTTTCATATTCACCATTTCATTTATGTGCATCAAATTAACACTGGCTTTCATATTTGGACAAGAAAAAGAAAGATTCTTATAAGTTACTGGAGTAAAAGAAATCCAAGGAGCTCTCCAGGGAACACAACCCCTTTTTGAGCTCTCAGGTTTTCATATTTTTAGGAAACATGCATAGACAGTATGTGGATTATCTGCAAAGATATACAGCACACTTCCTTAATTCTGAAAATTGTGCTACCAATTAAGGATGCCATGAAAATATTTTAGGAGAAAGGGTTTGGTACACCATAGTTGAGTGTAAAAATTCACAAGCCGGGTTCCTCTGGTTATATAATGTGTGAGGCAGCCCAGAGATTCAGACATGTTACAAAAAAACAAGAGTTCTTCTCCATAAATGGGAGGTGCGAATAAATACCACTTTCTCATTTTGGAATTAATGATAAAAAATTATAGGGTTTTTTTTTGTAAATTATTTTCCACAAAGTTCCTTTGGGAGAATCTCACACCAAAGTTGTTATTGAACCCAGTTTATTTGTAAACTTGACAATCTTGGCGATTCACATGCAATACAAATCTAATTACGGGAACGACATCCCAGAACACAAAAGTGTGGGAAGTGTCTTGAGTATGTTTAATGTTTCACTAAACTTTCAGCAACAGCTCTTTGCTTTTAACATTCCAAAACAAATAAATATCATATAGAGTAATGTTGTGCTCTGAAGCGACCTGTTGTGCACATGCGAACTGTGGGCCAGAGTGGAAGGAATTTCTATGCACGGGACATCGTGTATGTGGTTCTCATCTGCGATAGGCTGGACACCGACAGAGTCCAGACCGCATAGCCCTTCTCCTGGCTTTACTGTGACATCTGACCCTGTCAGACACAGGGTTATCATCGAAAGACTGCAGGTGGGGAGAGGGCCCTGGTGAATCCCTAGATCCTCACCCACAAATGATCAAGACCTTACAGTAGGCAATTAAGAAGCCCTATAAACTATTTGTGATGCCAACTTATACAAAAATGTATTTGTCGAGTAGACTTCTCTATTCACTTATTTTCTTAAACTGTTAGTAGACATTTAACTGTTTCCCTCATTGTATTTCAATGCTACCATGTAAATCATTTTGGGCAAAATATTGTCAGAATGAATTAAAGTGACTATTCTAAACTATTAATACTTGATCACTCCTGAAGCCAATGTAGTTTTTCAAACTGAGAAGGATAAAGTGTGATGCTGACCCACCTCACCTACCTGTGGGCAAGAATATTATGATCAAAAATTTATATGACAACACACACACTTACAGTTCTGTATCAAAGCATGCAGGCCACAGATGTTTTAGGAAATGACTTCAGAGTGAAGTGGATGAGGCTGGAGAAGGCAAGGTTGGTGAGATTTTGGATGGGCTGAGACAGGCCTGGGCTTGAAAAAGTGTGCCGAATGAGCTTGAAAATGAGAGGTTCACCAGGCTGGGGATTTAGCTTAGCGGTTCCACCACCTGCCTCTCAAGTGCAAAGTCCTGAGTTCAATCCCTGATACCAAAAGAAAAAAAAAAAAGTGAGAGATTCACCCAAAGAAAAAGCGAGCAGAAAAAAAGGAGGGATTTAGGAGCAATTTGTAGACAATATAGCAGAGGAGGAAAAGTGGAGTCAGGGAGATAAAAAGAAGCCAACTGTGACTTCCAGTTTTGAGACTAAGGGAACATGGACCAAGTGGGGCCTATGTAATTGCTTCTTGGGGTCACACACTGCCCCTCCAGGAAGGACTTAAGATTGTTACTTGTAATGCGCAACTGTAACCAAAAATTTGCAATCAGAAATACTACTGAGGGCTGGGGATTTAGCTCAGCGGTTCCACCACCTGCCTCGCAAGTGCAAGGACCCAAGTTCAATCCCTGACACCAAACAAAAAAAGATACTATTGAGCCTTTTCTTCCTCTAAGCAATGAGATTTCTATTACTGCACTTTTCTAAGGAAAAAGAAGGTTCATCCAAATTCTAATTCATGTGAGCTAAAATGTTATGCATCTTCAAAAACAAAGTCAAGCGCATAGGTTAATTTAGATATTTACAAAAGAAAAAAAATCACTCTGGCTCGTTGAATTTCTGAGAAATATTTTCAGACATATTTGAGTTTCCTTTGAGAGCAAGACAATTTTTTTGCTTTAAACTTCAGATGAGAAACTATTTTACAAGGGTTCCTTACCTTTGTCTATTTAAAAAAAGTAGATGGAGATGAGGGAAAAACCTTCATTGGTTGACCGGTGCAATATGTGGGCTGCAGATAGGGACTTTACAGTGAGGAATGGTCTGTTTAAAGTTTGACTGAAAATATGATTTAGTCTTGCTGGAATTGAGTTTATATATTTTCACTTATGATTATTCTTATGAAATGTCTTAGGAAATCAACTAAAGCTTCATTTCTAATAGTATAAAAATATCTAAAACTTAGGAGTATTGTTTTAGCAAACAGATCTTACTTAAATCATGGTAAAAAACACTCATATTAAAGGCTAACTTTGAAACCTTCATTTAGACACCTATGTCTCTTAAGCACAGCTTTTATTTTTCTTTTTATTGACTTTATTGGTACAATGTAGGTATACAATACAGTTACATTCATTATTGGGATCCTGTACCTTTACATAATAGGTCTTGATTCTCATTTTTCCCCTTGTCCCTGCCCTCCCTTCACCCTCTCCTCCCCTCCCCATTTACAAACACTTTATTTCATTTATTCAATTTTTCATATTGTTTCCTCTCCCTTATTGCCTTTCCCCCACCCTTCCCACTTTCCC